TCAAAAAGGAACAGGATATGACGCTAATTATTTACATTTGTTGACTGGTAGTTCTACTTTAGCATGTGACCTAATATCTTAACCACTTGTTTGCATTTTAAAACTCCCATCTTCCAGTTGTGTTAGGAATTTCAGGCATCAGCCAGCAGGTGCAGTAATATTTGTGTTGGGGGATAGGGGGATGAGTCCTGGAAGTAAATGTGATTTAGACCTCCTGGGACCTGGTGGGTTGGTCGGAAGGAGAGGTGCTGGGCCTCTCACCGGGTAGGCTCCCCACTCCTCTGGAAGACAAGCTGAAGCTGGTGTGGTTCCAGCTGCTTGGGGAGAATGAGGCATCTTTTGTCCAACATCTGGAGCCCACCCTTCCAGGATGAGTCCACCAGGCACCACTCCCACCACCTTCCCTCTGTTCCCTTTCTCCCACATTAACCCCTTTCCTCAGAGTTTCCCAGCATGGTGCTTCTTCAGGTGGCATTCAGTGAGATGTCAAACTACAGCCTGACTTGTCTGCCAACCTGAAAACCTCTTCATGTTTCATGTGGCATTTTGGCCTCTAACGTTTCCGACCACAAGATATGTACTTAAATTGCAGCCTCTTCCTTGGTAGAGATTTTGCCATAAGGTTCCTTCCCCGTTGTGAATAGAACCTCTTCCCTTATTCCTTTTCCAGACTCAAAAAGTGCCTGAATGGGTTGTATCTTGTAAGCAAACACTTGCAGGCAGAACTGACACGTTAAGGTATGTAACCTAATTGTACCAGCTGGTAGATAGTTCTTTTACACTTACTCTAGTCATACTTCATCTTTATATAGTATATAATTCAAGTGTTAGAAGAAGAGATTTCATACGATTGAATCAAGACCTCATCCTCTGTTCTTGTGGAGGTCCACTTCTCTCCCTAATATTCCAAGGAGCTCCTTTTCTCAGAATCTGCTCTCGGAGTTTAGATATCTACTGACATATTGATTTCACATGTATCTCACAATTATGGCAGGTCTCTTCCCTTCTCTCCTGATAAGGAACTTAGGCCCACTCACAACTTTTTAAAAAAATCATTGCATATCCCTATGGTTCATTCTCTCCCCTCATTCCTAGTCTTTAATCAAATGTCTCCTCACAAGAGCATTCTGTGGTCATCCTTGTTAAAACTACACGCAGATCCTCCTCCCCCAGAACTCCCAGTTCCCCTGTTCCTGCTTTATTTTTTCCATAGCTCCATCTGTTTCTGGCACACTATATACTTATTATATGTATTGTCTGTCTTCCCTCACTAGATTATAAACTCGACACGGGCAGGACTTTTAGCCAGCTTAACTGACTACTGAGTCCCCATCACCAAGAACAGGGCCTGGCACCAGAAAAATGCTCAATAAATATTAGTTGAGTGACTAAACTTACAGTAGCATGGCACATTGGCTGAAAATGTGGAGTGATTACTACTCACAATGTGTTTCTGGACCCACAGTATATCACCTGGGAACTTGTCAGCAATGCAGAATCTCAGGCCCACCCTAGACCTTCTGAATCAGAGTCTGCATTGAAACAAGACTCCCAGGTAACGCATATGCACATCAAAGTCTGAAAAGCACTGATCTGTATCACAGCAATGCAAACAACTTAAACTTGGATCTTGGACAACCCTGTTCTTAAGAGACATTCTTATACACAAGAAATAAGTAACAGGGAGTCTCTGAGGAGGGGACCTGGTTGACCAATGGGATAGGGATGGAAGGAAGAAACTATTCCCTAGGAATCATTTTGTGCCTTTTGCATGCAATTAGTAGCTATTGATAAGTGATTAAATTGATTGCTTGTGAGATAAATAGTACATAATAAAAGGCCCTCTGCTGTTTCTCACGGGATGTTTCTCCCCGGCCTTCCTTCTCTGTAGCCTCGTGTCTTGCTGCTTACTATCATGTGCCACCCCAACTCTCCCTCCAGACCAGTATAAAGAATATGTCCCGGGCGTCCCTGGTGGCGCAGGGGTTGAGAGTCCGCCTGCCGATGCAGGGGACACAGGTTCGTGCCCCGGTCCGGGAAGATCCCACATGCCGCGGAGCGGCTGGGCCCGTGAGCCATAGCCGCTGAGCCTGCGCATCCGGAGCCTGTGCTCCGCAACGGGAGAGGCCGCAACAGTGAGAGGCCCGCGTACTGCAAAAAAAGAATATGTCTCTGCTGCTACCCACTTAGAAGGCAGAAAGGACTACAGAAGGTTGAGTTTTAAAGAACAAGTTCATTGCTTTTTTTTTAGATTCACATAAGGGAGAATAAAACAGAAATGAAGGAAGCTGAAAACTTCACATTCTAACAAACATGGATAAAAATAACAGATGCGGTGTGGATGCTCTGCTCTCTCTCACATAACACACTTCAGACGTGTGTGCGCGCACGCATGTATACAAACACCAATGCTCCCAAAAAGCACCCAAAAAAGACACAAACTTTCCTCTGCTTTCCTGTCATCTTCCCTCATCTCCCCTCAGAGTGGGGGCTGGTCAGGACCCCAGGACTCCATGGTAAGCACCAGGGCCACCAGGAAGAGCGGCAGCAACAACAGGCAGGTTTGTGAGGTCCACCAGCTACTTGGCAGTTGTCGCCCCAGTACCCGGACAGCAGCCTCACTGCCCCCTGCATGGAGAAGGACTCAGTGGGATCCCTGTTGCAACTCTTCTCCCACTGGCACCTGCTACCTCCGCCTGTCCCCCATCTTGTCTCACTGCACAAATGGAGAGTGAGGAGCCTCTGTCCCCACAGTAGGGCCAGGGACTCAGCCAGGCATGGGGGACTCCAAAAGGGGAGGAAAAGGCGTGGCGTCTCACAAGAAGGCTGTGTCTCAGCCCAGGACCCAGCCCAGCCAAGGTGGACAAGAAGAGACGTGAATGACTCCTCCCAAGGGACAGCTGGGGCCCTGGCCCACCAGGAGACAGCCCCACCAGACGACGTCTACTGCCCCCAGACGATGGGACAACTCGCAGCCCTGCCCAACACCCATCAGCTGAGGAGCTCAGCCCCCACTGGTGGGCTCCAGTCAGTTCGCTGAAAATCAAATCACTGAACATCAACTTGCCAAGTTCCCTGATTTGGTGAGGATTTTTTCAGACTTTCTGGGGGTTTGCCTCCCCTGCCACTTTATTTTATTTATTTATTTATTTATTTTGCTGTACGTGGGCCTCTCTCACTGTTGTGGCCTCTCCTGTTGCAGAGCACAGGTTCCGGACGCGCAGGCTCAGCGGCCATGGCTCACGGGCCCAGCCACTCTGCGGCACGTGGGATCTTCCCAGACCAGGGCATGAACCTGTGTCCCCTGCATCGGCAGGCGGACTCTCAACCACTGCGCCACCAGGGAAGCCCTCCCCTGCCACTTTAAATGCAAAGGATCAGATTTCCCTTAAATGCAATCTCCTGCTTTCCTTATTTGTGCAGATTTACATGTGTTCCTGCTCCTGAGTTGATCATACAAACACCCTCAACTGGGTCAAGGAAGGCATCACAGCCCCTTCACAAGCGGGAACAGAGGCGCTACAGGGGCAGGACCCAGAGTGGGCTCCAGCTGGGCAAAGGAAAACTCAGAAAAATACTCAATGATTTCTTAATAGTGGTTATCTAGGGGTTAGAATTTCTCCTTTCTAACAGGTGAGTTTTTCTTTCTTTCTCACACATTTGTGTATTACCATAATTATTCACAGTGATTTACTTTTATGATGAGCAGAAATAATTCTGGCAGCTCCCTTTGTTCATGAGCTCATATATCAAGGCCAAAACAATGTCATAAGGGCGACTCCATTCTCAGACCACCATGATCACTTCACGATCCCTAAGAATTTTTCCACTTTTACCATCTGCAGCCATGTCCCTCCAGTATTCCAGGATCTGCTCTATGTTTTTTCCTTCACTCATCCTCTTTGACTACCTAAAATCTGATGAGCTAAAATGTGCCCCTTCCAGCATGCCTGGTGAACACCCTCCTTGTCCCAATTGTGTTACTTTATGAAATTACCCCCTCCTGTCCCTTTTGTTGTGTCAGAGGTGTCACACTTTTGTTTCTCTATCTCCCATTATTTTCATAAAAGACTAAGGGTGAAATGCAATGAAACAGTTGTTCGGAAACTTTTTTGAAAGCAACAAACTCTTGTTTAGAATGCAAACTCTTATTTAGGCTTTCCCACAAGTTGAGAAGCTGATGTGCGTTTTAGAGTGGCGGACCCTGGACTCCCCACTCCCAGTAAGCGCCTGGGCTGCCTCTCTCCAGCCCCCGTTTCTCCCTCAGCCCCGAGGAGGCATCTTCTGCAGTCTGTAGTCATAAATTACTCAAATACCCGCATGGACACTGACTTGGCCCAAAGTGAACTGGCAGCTGCCAGCAGCGCCACCATGCGATAGCTCCGAGTGGCTGTTCATCGTGTGACATACCCAAAATCCGATGTGGCACATGAGAGATGGCCAAGGGAAGTCACTGGAGAATGCTGAAAGGTGACTTTCAAGTAAAAAGTGGCAAAGTGGAGGGCTGTACGTGAGGGAGTTTTCTCTTCAAAACCCAGGTGTATCAGAACCACCCCCATTTCTCCTCTGACCAGAGCCCCTGTTTTACCTTCCGTCTCTTTCTGCCGGAGAAGCTCGGAAGCCCAGTCAAACTCTCTGCAGAGCAGAAGGCCTGACTGACCCCAGGGTAACAGATCAAATTTTAAATCCTACCAGCAACAGTTCTGAGACACTATAATGCTCGGCAGAAATGCCAGCCTGGGCAGGTCACTGGAAACGAGTGTCCAAATCCTGCTTCAGGTTGCCTATTCCATCTCAAAGACGGCCCAAGCCCCTCTGCGGAATCCGGGCATGCCAGCCCACTGCTGTGCCATCCTGTCCCCTTCCCCGGGTCTCTTCCCGCTCCCTGAGGGTCAGAGGGAAGCCCCAGGAGCCGGTGGCCCTCTCTCTCCCTGCCTACCCTCAGACCCTTCTCCACTGGGGCTCACTCAGGCCCCTGGTCACAAAGAAACAACCACTAGCCCAAAGACTGGAAAAAAACGTTTTAATAAATACAAAAATCTCCAATAATGACTCTGCTCAGCTCAGGGGCAGCAGGAGTGAAGTGGGGGGGACCCTTGGTGCTGAGTGAGGATAAATTAAAAATCCCAACAAGCCAGTGACATTATGTACAGAAGGAAAGGGGGTGGGCTTCCAAGGCAGAGGCGAGAGGGCGACAAGGCCGAAGTTGGAGTGGACATGGCATTGGTCGGCCCTGGCTACCCCTCCCCCTTGTGGAGTTGTGGTTCCCAGAGGTAGTGGGGGAGGGAGAAGAGGCAGAAAAGAGGGGCCGAAGGCACTGGGTTTCCCGCAGGAGAATGCGGGGTCCCCGGCGCCCCTCCTCCCCCAGCCCAGGCCCCATCCTCTTGGTCACGCGGCCTTCTGGCTGCTCCCTAGGAGCCTTCAGCTTCTTTCTCCAGCTCTGGAACTGTCCTGGTGTCTGCAACTGCTGGAGACAGAGGGAGTGAGCTTTAGAAGAGGAGTGAGTGAGTGGGGTGGCAGGGAGGGCACAGCAGAGCTCCTCTGTTCTGGTCCCAGAAAGATCAGAATTTTTTCAGCACGCCAGCACACACCAGCTGCATGACTTTAGTCTAGCTGCCTGATTCCTCTGGGCGTCAGAAATCTCATTCCTGAAGAAAAGGTAATCACGAACAAGTCCACAAGTTTGCTGTGGCGGGGGGGACGGGGTGGCACTTGTGCAGCAGTGGGCGCTATTCCCGCCACACGGCAGGGGCTCCCTTCCCTCCCCAGGCGTCCCACAGGCAGCCCGGAGCTGCTGCCCCAGGCCCCTCACTTACACCGCCGCCGGGCTGTGCAGTGGGAACAGCAGCGGCTCTCCTTCCCTGGGCCGCAGGACAGTGGCAGTGAACAGTCATCCCGCTCACAGTGGGGCACCCCTGCCTGGTGCAGGACAGACCAGATCCTGAGGGTCCCTGAGGTGCTGGGGCACAGCGGCCTTCAGCCTCTTGGGGGAAGCCCACCCCCAGGAGCCTGCCCTCCCTGGGAAGTTCCCCTCCCCCAGGCCAGGCCCCCAATGCCCGCCTCACACAAGCCCTCACTTACCCCACATCTGCAGGTGATACAGCTCATCTCCCCAAAGGGGGGCACCGAAGGGTGCCAGCTCTGGCTCTCCGGGAACCACTGCCCTGCAAAACGGCAGCCCCGGGGCCCATCAGCCTGCATGGGGTCCCCCAGTTGGGGGTGGGCCCCTGACCCCACTGTTGGCAGGGAGAGAAGGAGGGAAGGAGGGAGAGGTCAGTAGATGTGAGCCCTGTGAGGGCCACCCAGGTTTTATTTGTCACCAGCAGTTTCTGGCACTTAGTAGGTGATAAATTTGGATGGATGGATGGAAGGATGGATGGATGGATGGATGGATGGATGGATGGAAGGGTGGATGGGTGGATGGGTGGATGGGTGGGTGGGTGGGTGGGTGGGTGGATGGATGGGTGGATGGGTGGGTGGCTGGGTGGCTGGGTGGCTGGGTGGCTGGGTGGGTGGATGGGTGGATGGATGGATGGATGGATGGATGGATGGATGGATGGATGGATGGAAGGATGGATGGGTGGATGGGTGGATGGGTGGATGGGTGGATGGGTGGATGGATGGGTGGATGGGTGGATGGGTGGATGGATGGGTGGATGGGTAGATGGATGGGACAGGAACTGGATCCCATCACAGCCCACTAACACATGCACATTCTTTCCAGCGCGTGTAGATCCCTGGCTCCAGGCTAGGCACAGAGCAATGCTGGGTAAATACTGATTTAGCTGAGACATCCCTTCCATCCACCCTCACTAGGCATCCCCTCACCATGCATCCCCCCGCCCCGACCCAGGACAAGGACAAAAAGCCTTATCTGCCCCAAGAAGCCTCAGTGCCCACCCCCCTCACCTGGACACTGTTTGCAGCAGTCAGTGGGGTTGGCACGGACAGGCTGGGCACAGGCCAGCCGGGGACACTGCACCTTCTCACAGTGCACCTCTCCAGTGCCCCCCTGTAGGGATCCATTGAGTGAGGGGTATCAGGAAAAAGGAGGAGCACGTAAGCCTCCTGCTTCCTCCCTCTCCTTTCCCATACCTCCAAAGTAATACATCCCTGGCCTTTTACTCAGAGGCCCTGGGCTGGGGCTTTTTATGTACCTGAACTCAAATCCTCATTGTGGCCCTGCAAGGTAGGTGCTACCACATCTGCTTATGGGAGAGGAAAGTGAGTCTCAGGGACGCACAGAAAGTGCCCAGGGTTACATGGAGCTAGTCAGCTGGCAGAGCCAGAGTTCACACCCAAATCAGTCCGTGCCCTTTTCCTTTATAGGAAGCCAGCTCTCAGAGCCCAGGGAGCTCTTCTCATGTTATTTTGATCCTTGAGCCCTCCTCACCAAGACTGGGCTTTCCTCTCCTACCAGCCCCCTCCCCAGCTCTGCAGACCCGCTGGGTTCCAGCACCACAGAAGACTGGGTGGCCATACCTTGCAGGTGCAGACAGCACACTTAATTAAGCCAAATGGGGGCACGACAGGGTGCCACCGGGTGCCCGCTGCCCGCCAGCTCCGGTCGCCATCAAAATAGCAGCCTGGTGGGGGACAGTGCCCAGCTGCCATTAGCACTGAGTTCATTGGCTGGGCCCACAACCCAGGACTGAGCCTCAGGCCAACCCCACAGTAGTCTAACCACAGGGCCCACTTGTGGGCCAGTGAATCTGATGAAGTCTATCAGGTGTCACTTGTAACCTGTGCCCCTCAGCCTCCCTCCACCCCCATAAACACTCTCCCCCTCCCACCACCCCCCCGCGTCCCACCCAACAGCTCCTCTGGATTCCCTACCCCTCCACGCCCACTTCTGCTCACCCTCTCCAGGGTCCCTGTTCTTCGGCAGCCCCGGCAGGTCGCCGACATCTTGCTTCTCTGTGGATCCAAAGTAGTGAAAGCAGACGGTGGCCCCCTCCTTCCCTCCGCAGAGGCCTCACGCCCACACGGTGGACCCTCCATTACCCTCTCCGCTCCTGCAGGGCACTCACCCGGGCACACAGGGCAGCACTGATCCGGCGCCTGCACCGGGCTTGGGCAGCTGGTTGGCGGGCACACCATGGGGTCACAGATCACCGTGCGTCTCTACGGGGAGAGGTTGGGGGTTGACTGCGATCCTGACCCAGAACCCAGGCCCCAGTGTGCTCTTCCAGGGCCTCCTACCTGGCAGGTGCAGAGCGAGCAGAGCGGGTCATAGTTAGGAGCCCAGCGAGCCCCATGGGGGCGCTGCTGCCCCTCGAAGAAGCAGGTGTTGGGGTCTCGGAGCCGCCCGGGGCCACCAGGTTTGGCTGGCGCTGGGGCATCTGGGCCTAGCACAGCGGGCAGCGCGGCCACCTCGGCCACCACTGCATCCAGAGCCCCGGGCACCCGTATTTCTTCGGCCCCTGCTGCCGCCAGGCGCAGGCCGCCCGCCTCGCACTGGTTGGCGATGTGCACCTGAGAGGAGAGGCAGGTTGAGGCAGCGCCCGGGCTCCCCCTTGCGTCTCCACCAGCAGCGGCCAGTCAGCCCAAGACACCCTGAGCGCCCCTCAGCCCCAGGAGGATGCTATTATCCACGGCAATCATCCCAGCTGCCAAGGACAGATGGTCAGCTACTAGCCTCACTAAGTACCTCGTCTGGCTTCAGCCTCCCGACCAGTGAGGAGGGAGTGTGTGTGATTCCACCAGCCCCGGGGTTCAGAGAAAGCAAGGGACTGACTAAGGCACACAGTGATAGCCCAACACTGGACCATCCCCACCGGCCCGCACTGCCTGCCTACCTGCCCTCGCAGCTCCCCTTGGGGGCTACCCTTGGTGGTGATCAGCAAGGAGGCAGAGCCCTGTGCCAGGTGCCGCAGCAGCTCAGGCTCCAGATCCTTGACCACGCCCTGGGCCTGTGAGTAGACAGAATCAGGGGCGGGAACAAGGCACTCTAGGGCTGAGCCTACCACTCCCAATTCGCGGGTAAGGACACTGAGGCCCAGGGAGATTAAGTAAGGCCTCCAGGATAGCAAAGCCCAGCGGCGATGGTGTAGAGCTCAGAAGCCAGGTCTCTCTAGCCCCGATTCCATGGCAACCCACCCCACGTCGGGGGCTTGGTCCATCCCACATACCCCTCTGGAGGTTCAGGATATTACATACTATCCAAGAGATCCCACCAGAGTAGGATGCAGGAGAGAGGATGGATAATAAAAGGCTGAGTCAGATTCATACCCGGGTCTGTCTGACTCCTGAGGCTGCCTGCTCTCTGCTTCTCCTGCCAAAGGCCCACACAGCCTTTCATGCGAGAAAGTAGATCTTTTCCAAACTGCCTCCCACCATCACGTCCTCACCTCTGGGCCATAGAATCCCTTCAGCAGCCGCCGGGGCCCTGGCATCCCAGGAGGCCCGAGGAGGTGGGCAGTGATGGTGCCCTGTTCTGAGCCACCAAGCCCAGCCAGCAGCACTTCATAGTGCAGGTGACAGTGGGTATCCAGGGAGAGCCAGGCATGCCCTGCTGCCTGGCTCTGCACGGGGGGCAACACCAGGGCTCCTGCCAGGGGCACAGGTAGTGCTGGATCCAGACAGAGGAGAGGTGACAGATGAGAAGGTGGCCTAGAGCAGCGACTCAATCCCGGCATTCCCCGTCTCCCCCAACACGGACTCCACGAGCTGCCAGGCACTGTCCACAGGCCCAGGGCTGGGGCAGCAGCAAGTGAGAGCCCTGCACTGTGTGTGGTAACAGGGAGGGTCTCCCGGCAGGGCCACCCTACACATCCCCACCTTCTCCAGATGCCAACTGGAGCTCAGGCACAGAGAAAGACACCACGCCAGGCTCTGGCCCTCTGGCACCATCCCTCACATGCTTGAGTCACAGGTTAGAGGACACCAAAGGGCAGGCAGACCCCTGGAGCACTCACTATCATGGCGGGCGCTGTGCCCACTGTAGGGCAGGGCAGCCACGTGCCCCCGCAGCTCTCCATCTGGGAAGTCCTTGGTGCCCACGTTCAGGAACAGCTCATTCTGCAGCAGCATATGAGCCCCCCGGGCACCCAGCCCAGGGCAGACACCCACAGCCTGGGGGGCAGGGAAGGGTGAGCCCCAGCTGTAGCCCGCCGGGTCCCAGATGAACCCCTCCTCAGCTTTCACACAAGCCCAAGATTCTGAACCCTTTCCATGTTTTGTGCCCCCACTAAACCCATACACACTTCCTCACACCAGTAACACTGGATAAGAACCTGGCGGGCCCAGGTTCAAGTCCCTTCCCTGCCACTTCCTACCTATGCAACCATCTTGAGGAGTTATTTAATCTCTCTGATCCTTCACTTCGCCATCTATAAATGAGTACTGTGAGGGCCAAAAATAACAGAAGCAAGACAACCAGTACAGTTTGTGACACGTAGAAAGGCTCAATAAATGGCAGCCACTGCGATCACGTTTGCTATTACGTGATCTGCTGCACTGGTCTCCCTGTATAACTCCTTCCACTTGACATGAGCTTCCTGAAGAGAGGGGCCACATCTGATTTTCTTTGTACTGCAGTCTTTAGCCTGAGACTCACTAAAAAATGTGTCCAGTGAATCAGTGCATCAGTGAGAGAGCCTGTGAGTGAGTGAATGATGCGGAACATCCCTGCTCATCCAACATGGCTTCCCACAGCCCCCGGCACTGTCAGCTCTGGTGCCTGGGACCTGCGGCTCTGCCCTGCCTGAAGCACTCACCGTGTATCCTCCCGGCTGGAGTCCAGCCATGTGGCACAGGACAGTGTGCTGGTTCCTCCGCTGAGGCTTGGTCTCCAGCGTCATGGCCACCACCTCGCTGCCTGTACCTACCACCTGTACCTGGAGGGCAGGGTCAGGGAGGGCAAACTGGAGTAGCAGAGAAGGCCTGGGCCCTGAACCATTGCAGGCCAAAGCCCCGCCCTGCTCTGCTGCCCTCCCACCTCCTCCATCCCCCAGCTCTTACTTGGTAGATCAGGGAGCCATTTCCTAGCAGTGTAAGGCTGGCCGAGCCGGCTGCACCTGTCTGAACGGGGATCAGGGCATCGGCCCCACAAAGGACACTTTGCAGAACTGCAGAGGGGCAAGACAGGTGGAGGCAGGCTTGCTGCATGGCCATTCACATCCCCAGCCCCCAGGATCCCTCCTATACCCCCCCAGCCCCTCCTCTGGCACTTCTCTGTGCCTCTCAGTTGTGTGTGCCCGGGGTGCCAGGCTTCGCCCTGCCTCACCATCACAGCTCTGCCTGGCAGCAATGTGTCCACTGATGCGCAGCCCTGACCCACTTGCCCTCTCCAGGGCCATCTGCAGCTCCCCCAGCACCAGCCAGTCCATCTCCTGGGCTGTCAGGTTGGGCAGCACTTCAGCAAAGCCCGGCTCCTGGGGGCAGAGCAGGGTATGGTGGGCACAGCAAGAGGCCAGAACCGGTGGCAGTAAGAGCCAGATCCTTGCTCACCTGGGCCGAGGCATTGGCCTGGAGCTCTCGCAGTAGCTTCCCCTGGTGTAGAATCTGGAGCCGCAAGGGAACCTGGGCTGGTCCTGCAACAGCCACACATGTGGATACCTCTGAAACATAGGTGATCTCCCTACCCTCCTCCTATGTGCTGCCCCCATTCCACTTACCCCCACTCCTGGCTTCCAGCAGCCCACGGAAGAGCAGCAAAAAATGCAAGGAGTCCTCTGTGTCACTGAGCGTGAGGAGGGCAATGCCCCCTATGCCCTGCTGTGGGGGGCCTTCCAGGGTCAGGATGGCACTGAAGGTCTCTGGGGGAGAAAGGACCATAAGAGCCCACCAGAAAGTCCCCTCCTCAGCCCACTCCATTCCTGGGGGTAGAGAAGACTCCAAACTTCACGTCCAGGGGCTGTTTGCTCCCCTCACCTGCGGCCAGGGCCCGATGCCGGATGAGAGGCCCCCAGACCTCCCCTGAAGGGTGACTGGGTGTCACGAGTGCCACATGCAGCTGTTCTGCCCTAAGGAGCCGCAGAGACAACCGAGGCACTGCTCGCCACACCCCACAGACCTGGAACAGAGAGATAAGAAGACTCTACTCAGAATGCAGGACAGGCCTGCTGAGAGGCCCATGTCTGGTGAGGAAGGAATATGGGAAGCTGCCCCCAGGCCCTCCTAGGAAGTTTGAGAAGGGGCCCTGGAGCCAGATGCCAGGGTCCAAATCCTGGCTCCACCACTTACTAGCTGTGTGACCTTGAGCAAGTCACATTCTGCTACTGAGCCTCAGTTCCCTCATCTGTAAAATGGGCATCATAATGTCAGTGCCTTTCTCCCACTGGGCTGTTGTGAGGACCCAAGCAGGTAATGCAGAACATGCTCTCAGCACAGCGCCCAGACTGGATAAGCACTCATAAACGGCATCATCTCACCAGGCCATCTTGGGTAGGGGCTGCAGGGTGTTCAAACAGGATGCTGCCAGTGGAGTCTGAGAAGCGGATTCGGGTAGGGCGGTCCAGCCTGGTAATGAGAGTCCCCTGAGCACAGACTCCGAGCCTGAGCCAGAAGCAGCCCCTCCAGCCTCCCCAATTCTCCCTCCCTGGCCCCCAGCTGACCCCTCCTCCCTCCTTCCCCTTTCTCACCGCCGGTAGGAGATGGAGAACCGCAGACTAGAGCGCAGCAGTGACACTCGGGCCCGTGCCACCGCTTGCGACCTTGGCCCTGTCAGCAGCGCCACGAAGTCTGTGAGGGAAGGAAGATATCCCTAGTACCGCCACCCGCTGCTGCAGCCCGGCCCCAACCATGACCCCGGTCCTCACTTGCGCAGCCCCTGCCTACCCGTGTGGCCATCTCCACGCCCCCGATCCTCAGCTCCGGGCTCCCCGCGGTCGCTGTAGCTTCGGTGCTCTGGGTCCCGCGGATACTCGAAGGCCAGGCCCGTTGGCTGCTTTTCCGGACCGCTGCGCTCTGAACCGGGGGTGGGGGATGCGGGTTTCAGCTGGGCACGAGGAGGGCCAGTTGGCCGCTCCATTCGCTCCATCCGCGTGGCCCAGGACCAAGCATCGCGGCCCTGCTGCCCTCCTCTCACCGCGGAGCGGGCCTTACCCTGGGGGCAGGTCTGGCAGCAGTGTCCGGGCAGCTGGCGCGGCTGCCCGCAGGCCAGGGTTGGGCACTCGGGTTTGATGTTCTTGCAGCTGACCCTGCCCGCGCCCCTTGCGCGGCGACCCCACTGAGGCTGCTCGCAGAGAAGACGGGAAAACCGAATGAGGGCAATACGCTGTTGGTGAGACTCAAAGGCGAGCCGAGAGGAGGCACGGGACCAGGGCAAGGTCCTCCCACGGGGTGAGACTGCTCTGCTACATACAAGCTGCATAACTCTAGACAAGTTACTTAACCTCGATGGGCCGTAGGGTCCCTATCTGAAAAATGGGAGTAAGGATAGTATCTATCTAGCATGGTTGTACTAGGAGTTAAGCGAGAGACAGACGAAATGGAGTTGGCAAAGAGCCTGACACACAGTGGGTGATCAATAATAGGCAACACCTGAGACTTGAAGGGGGCTCTTCCTCCCAGCTTCCTCCGTCAGAAAAATATCCCAAGTATCTGCAGACTGACTTCTCTTTCTTCAGCAACTGCGAGTCCCTCCGGCGTCCCAAGACCCCAGCGGTCCCCGACCCGCGAGGGCCCCGGCCACGGCCATTGGGTCCACTCACCGCCTCGCAGGCACACAACACGCAGCGCATCACCCCGAAGGGCTCCCCCAGGTCCGGGTGCCACGTCTCGTCCAAGGCATAGACCTTCCCGCCGAAGGAGCAGCCTACGGGGACGGACTTGGCTGGCGGCAGCTGTCCCGCTCCTACCGTGTACCCGCCCCGGGCGCTGCCGGCCGGGCCCCGGGTCCCCCGGCGCGACGCGCCTCGCGGCCCCCGCCCACCCCTCCGGGCCGCCCGCCGCACCGAGCCACCTGCACCCGGCGCCCCCTCCGGGCGGGCGCAGACTTGCCCCGAGCAGGACTCCCCGCCCGCGCCTCCCCCAGGGCGTCCACCTACCTGCTGCTCCCCGAATGGGCAGCGGCTCCTTCTCGGGCCGGATGGGCAGCGCTGGGTGCTCGGGGCCGGCGCCGCGGGCCGGCCGGGAGCAGAGCAGCAGCAGCCCGAGGAGCAGCAGCGGGGCCGGCGGGGCCGGGAGGCTCGGCATGACGCGAACGGGACAGCTGGGGAGGCGGGAGGGAGGAGGGAGCTGGAGAAGGAGGAGGGAGGTGGGAGGAGGGCCGGGCCGGGGGCGGTACGGCGGGAGGGGGCCGGGGCCAGGGCCCGAGCTGTGCGGCTAGGGGCTCGTCGGGCGGCCGCGGAGTCGGCGCCGGGCCGGGTGGGGCGGGAGGAGCGGCCGGGAGGAGCGCGGGCGGGCTGGCGGCCGCTGACCCGGGCCGTACGCGGCTCTAGTGCCCCGGGCGACGGCTCTGGCCCGTTTTATGCCCCGCGCCCGGCGCCCCGGCCGGGGGCCTCCTCCTCAGCAAACGGGGCGGCGGCGGCGGCTCGGCGAGGGGCCGGGCTGAGCCCGGGGGGTCCGGCCCAGCAGCAGCGGCCCGGATCGCGAATGGGGGAGGGGAGGGAGGGGCTGGAACCGGGCAGGGGAGGAGGGAGGGGCTGTAGGAGAAGGGGGTGGGGAGGGGGAGGGGAGGGAGGGGAGGGGAGGGACCAGGGGGCGCAAAGACGGGAGGAGAGGCGGGTCTGGAGCCCCCCCCCTCCAAGCTGGACCAGGAGGTGCGTGTCCGGCCCAGGATGGGAACCCCAGACCAGGGAGGGGCAGAGACTGCCCGAGGCCTGGGCCAGCCACTGGGCTAGGACTGGGTTCCTGCAGGAAGGATGAAGAATTGTCTTTAAGGATGACTACGTGCAGAAAAGGCCCGTCAACTCATCTTCGCCTGACGCTGGGCCCACAGCACCTCTCAAACCCCACACCACTCTCACTGCCTAACCTGTGTCCTACCTCTTCTCTGAGCTCTCTCCTCATTCTACTGTTCCCCAGGATAGGAACTTGGCCAGAAATAGACAGTATCCCCTTTCTGTCTGGTGACAGTGTTTCTCTCCCTACTGTTACCTGCGCTCAGGCCCATCCAACCATCATCATCCCCAGCCTGACGCACTTTCCCACCCTCTTCCTTCACCCTGGGGACCCTGTGCCTCTCCACCCTACCCACAACCTCTTTTGTCTTGGTTTCCTGGTCATGACGGGCTCCCTGCCCCCTCCCACCCCCACTCTCCCACCATCCTCCCAACCATCCCGGCACCCTCCTTCCTAATCTTGGGAGGCATCTCGTCTGGCTGAACTGGAGAATTCTGGGATCTAGGCCATACTCTTTAGCAGACAGCCCCATCCTGGGGAGGAGGAGCAGGACACAGCCTGAGGAAGAACTGGGGGGGAGGGGGTGATGGGAACAAGGTCAGGCCAGGAGGCCCCTGAGGACGGACTGTGGGGAGAGTGGGACTGAGGGGAAAGCAAAGGAACTAGAGCCAGGGCCAAAGGAAGAGGGGGGCCAGCGGGAGGTATTTGCGGGGGAGGTTCAGCAGCTGTCTTTCCTAAGACAGGGACACATGGGCCTGGTTATTCCTCTTGTCACATGTGGAGTGGTAGGAGATGGAAGAGGGAGAAAGACCAGGCAGGCAAAGAGGGCACTGGCACAGAGATAAGTGGGCTTAGCCATCGGAGCCACTGGGCCCCAACAGAGTGGTACCTGAGCACAGCTTAATCCAGCACAGGCACCCTCTCAGCTTGAAGGCCTCTCAAACTGTCCAAACTGCTTCCTGGTAACACTGACCCCTGACAGGGTCTTCTGTAATACAGGCGACACCCACATTCCCATTTGCAAAGGGGGCATAAGACATGACCCCCAGAGGGTTATTGGCGAGAAAAGCAGGAAAGCAAGAGTCCTAGTAGATTTTAGCAGCAGGTGTGGTGTCCAGGGAAAAGAAATTTGGACAGCCAGGAATTGAGAGACCCACCATTCTAAAGCCAGACCTCCGTGCCTCTTCCTCAGGGACAAAAGTGTCCTGCCAGAATCCTCCTGGAAAAAACCTGTTTCCCTCCCATCTTCTCCCCCAACCAGGTCCCAGATTTCCCATCTCCTAGGGAAAGACAGATCCCCCTGTTCAAATCCTCTGTGTGGTGTGCGTGGGTGGAGGATCTGGGGCTCCGCTAGTGAACCATGGTCCAGGCAGGGGCTCCAGGTCCTGCGCGGGTGGGAGGAGAAGGCGTCACTTCCGGGGGCCATTGCCAGTGTCTAGTGGCTCCCTGCTCTCTGATTGGGCAGAAGTGGCCTGGGCAGGCGTGTGACCCCACTGCCCTGGAGGGGCTATGCCCCAACGCCACCTGTTTTCCTACCCATCTGCTCCCCAGAGTGCCGCCTGCTCCGCACCTGGGTCCTGGAGCCCTTCTCCATCCGGTGAGTGGCAAGCAAGGTTTGGAGTTAAGTGAGGGTCGGAAGGACAGGAAAGAGGAATTGGGCTCTCTGCTGGGGGAGGGGCAGGCAAACTGGAACCTGCAGGCACTGACCTTTGTCGAGAAGAGTGTAGCCTTCCCAGAATGGGAGGAGCAGGACAGAGCAGGGGTAGGGGGTGGGGTGCTGGGTTCTGAGGGACTGATCACAGACTTGGTGGAATACAGCACAGTCGCGGCTGGCCCTAAGGAAAGGGGACATGGTCCCAGGGAGAAAATAAGAAAGGAGGTGTTTTTTTGGACTTAGGGAACATAGCACCAAGCTGGACGCAGCCCCAATCCGCATTCTTACCCAGTCATTCCTAGTTAGCTCACGAGGTTCTGAATCCTGGGGCTGGGGAAGCTGGGCCAGGCAAGCCAGGGCACAAGGAGAGGGTAATGGGAGGAGGGCTCATGCATGTTGACAGACCTACAGGAAATCCCAATATTGAATCAGGTGCAGGCCTCTTTGCACAACTTGTGAAAGAAGGAGGAAGCCATGTGTGGGGTCCTGCAAAGGAACCGGAAGGGGTCTGCAGAGGGGGCAGGGAGGAAGGTGCAGGCTAGGAGACAGATATGGTGGGTGTCTAAGGCAAGGTAAGCCCTGCAAGGTGTGCATCATCTCACCCAGCCTGTGCTCATTCCTGGGCAACTTGCTTCAGGAAGGAAGTTCCAGGACTGTTAGCCCATCTCTTCACCTTGGATAACCCAGTATTTCAGAACTTAGAATGCAAAGAAAAACTCCAAGAGGCTTTGTATGTTGGGGTAAATAGAAAAAGAATGAGAGGTTAATTTCTCCTACACCACCTTCTCAAGCTTTTAATCACCGACCTTTAGTAGTTAAGTTTCATTTTTGCCCAATTTCCCTCCTCAACCCCACTCCCCAAGCTACCCCTGAGCACATTGTACATGTTTGCTAGCTCCTTGTCCTGGCCCTGTATCCCATTTCCAATCTCTTCTCCAGACTTGTGCCACAATACTTCCCTTCTCTATCCCCGTCCCAGATTTTCTCCAACCGAACAGGGTTGCTCAGACTTTGAGGCCAATTAGATGTGTGTGTATATATCCTGTCCTGCAGCTCTCGGCAGGGGGCAGGGGCACCAGAGCCACCTCAGACGTCCTGAGGAGCCCTGACAAAGGGGAGATGCCATACGCTACCTTCACAAGATGATGTGGGAGCAGTCGGAGCTTTAGCAGTTTTAGGCTGGTCAGCATCTCACACCCTCCCAGCATCTGTTCCACCAGCCAGGCAGAGTGTTTTCCTTGAAACTCAATAATGTTCATTATTCCTGTCACTTGCAGGATAGATTCTAGACCCTCTTCCTTGGCCCACCTGTGCCCCACCTGTGCCCCACCCCACTCTGCCCAGAAGTGCAAGAGCCCAAGCCGCCTCCATGGCCCCAGGACGGATTCAGGGGAGAGGCCCCATACAGGGAGCCACTCCAACCAGACAGCCTGGCCAGAATGGAGATGACTGGTAAGAAAACCCTTGAGAGACCTAGGGCCAAATCAGAACTTGGTAGAGGGGAAAGAGAAAGGAGATGCGCTGTGGTGCGGGGGCAGGGGGGACCTCAATCTCCCAGGAATAAGGCCTCTGAGAGGCAGATTCCGTGGATTTCAGGTCTGGGTCCTAAGTGGGAATTCCTGGACCACCACCCAACAATGATTTCTTCCTTATCCACCCCTTTCAACCTCACCTCTCCTCATCTAAGAATTGCTCCTCGTGGTCATGCCTCTCCTAACTGCAAGACTAACTCTGTCCAGCCCGGCTCCTCCTGCCTGTGACCCCCGACTCCTAAATAAACTGCTTCGTGACTCCCATGTCCTTCACAGCAGACTGGTGAGAATCCCCAAGCACTCTCCCCACTATCCACCTAACTGGTGAGACACCCTGACTCCTATCACTTCCGCTCATTCCCTCCGATCACTACTCTTCTAATATTGTCTTCAGTAAGACCACTCCCCGCCTAATTACCACCCCTTTACAAGGATTATGGTTTACAATCAAACGCCCTCTTAAAAGCTCTAGTCTGGTTATATTTCATGGAAGCCTGTCCTGGTAATTGGGCCACCATAACCCCCTCTATTTCAGTGCCCTCTCCACCATCCCCCCACCAATCTTTTTCAACAGAGCCAGTGCCCAGACGTTAACCCTTTGTCCACACCCGTCCTGCTGCCTGCTGTGGACTTCAGCTTGGGAGAATGGAAAACCCAGACAGTAAGAAAGCCATCCTTTCCCTTGGTTTCCCGAATCCTGTCTTCATGTGTTTCCTACTGATTCCCATGGATTTTTCAAAATTCCTGAGCTCCCTAAAAAGATCTCACCTTCAGCTTGGCCACCCTAACCCAACATACATTCTACTATGGGGATATCCTCTGGACAAGATGATGGCTTGTGGTCCACTACGTAAAATAGAGTCAAAGTTGACCACCATGAAAAGCTGGATAGAAGTCTCTCATGGCCATGCTTTTGACCTATTTCTGTTCAGCCTTCTTAAGTCGGTGTGAAGAAGCAAGACTGATCTGTCATCCTCAGATGACACAAAACTGGGATGCACAGCTAAAATAACAAAAAACAGAATTAAGGTTCAAACTGCTAAAAGGCTAGGTCAAAAACAAGGTGAAATTTAACAGAGATGTATATAAAATTCTAGATGTGAAAAGTAATTGAATAAAATCCTATTCCAGCTTTCAGGCCACAGTGTCCCTACATACCTCATATAAACTTCTAGCCCTAGTACTTACTATGAAAAGGACCTGGGAGGGTTGGATTGACCCCAAACTTAGCATTGTAACAACATTATTGAAGTAGCTACTTAAAAAGGTAGGGATCATAGGTGGCTTTAGATGTTTAACATCCACATTGTAGAAATATTCCTAAAAAACTCTATTCTGAGTGGACTGCACTTAAACTACTGCACTGAGCACTAGCCATCCTCTTTTAGAAACATGCTAATTTACTCAGAGGGACCATATTAAACTAGCATGTTTCCAAAAGGAGGAAAGCAACCTGAACAGTGAGAGGTTAGAAAATATGTTATGCAAGGAATGGTTTAAAAAAATAATAAAGCTTGTGTGATTAGCTTGGAGAAGAGTGTCAGTCTTGTGGTAGAGCATGAAGTGCTTCAGTCTGAGACTCACTCAGGAAACCTACCAGGAGGGAGCGCTGCTTAGAAGGTCAGCTCCTCTACCCTCAACATCCCTAGAATTCCCTTGCTTCCCTCAGGTCTTCTGGGGGATTGGGACAGGGAGGAAATGTAATTGCTAGTGATCCCTTGTAGCTCTAGCTCTGCCATTTATCAGCAAGCCCCTTTCCTTCATCTTTATAATCTTTATGATGGTCTTATATCTACATTAATTATTTTAAAATCATATGATCCTGGTTTTGTAGCAGAAAGAGTAGATTTGCAGCACTAGAACCAAGAGGTAAAAGCTATAATAGGGCAGATTTCAGCATAATGTAAGAAAAAAAAAAAAAAAGAGCTTTTCTCACTGAAATTACATGTGAGACCAGGCTGCGTTACTGGACACTGGCGTTATTCAAGCAGAGGCTGATGACCAATTGTCGGGAGACTGAAGGAATTCCTGTACTGGGTGGGACCTAGGTCCTGTCCAATTCTCAGCTCCTATGATTCATTCTGCTGGCTACTCTTACAGGCTCCCCACCCGCTATTAGCATACCCTTTGAAGCTGTCGGTTTCTCTCTTCCATCTCTTTCCCAGGAACAGACCAAGGCACAGGACGTTCTGGGAGCCTCGACCCTTCTGCTGGAGGCAGTGATGGCAGCGCGGGGACAACTGGGACCCACTTGCCTCTCATCCCTACTGGTGCAGCTTTCTGGACAGGTCCGCCTCCTCCTTGGGGCCCTGCAGGGCCTCCTAGGAACCCAGGTAAGTCCCCAGTCAAGGGAACTATAGAAGCTGTCTTTCTTTTTTGACTCGGTCCCCTCAGAAGACCTGAGGGAAGAAAGGGGAATTTTAGAAATCTTGAGGGTGGAAGAGCTGACCTGCTAAGGAGTGCTCCCTCCAGCCACAAAGCCTGGGTTCTGGTACCATATCTTTCCCACATAGACAGGGAGGCATGATATCTGGCCCAGGTCTCTGGCCTCAGGCCCACCCTCTGCCCTCAGCTTTCTGCGCAGGGCAGGACCACAGCTCACAAGGATCCCAGTGCCATCTTCCTGAGCTTCCAACGACTGCTCCGAGGAAAGGTGCGTTTCCTGCTGCTTGTAGTGGGACCCACCCTCTGTGCCAAGCGGGCCCCACCTACCACAGCTATCCCGGGGAACACCTCTCCATTTCTCATACTGAACAAGCTCCCAAACAGGACTTCTGGATTGTTGGAGACAAACTCCAGTGTCTCAGCCAGAACTACTGGCTCTGGACTTCTGAACAGGCTGCAGGGATCCAGAGCCAAGATTCCTGGTCTGCTGAACCAAACCTCCAGGTCCCTAGACCAAATCCCTGGACACCTGAACGGGACACATGGACCCCTGAGTGGAATTCACGGACTCTTTCCTGGACCCACACCCAGGGCCCTAAGAGCCCCGGATATTCCTCCGGAAACTTCAGACATGGACTCCCTGCCACCCTACCTCCAGCCTGGAGAGTCTCCTTCCCCAGCCCATCCTCCTCCTGGACAGTACACACTCTTCTCTCCTTCACCCACCTTGCCCATCCCCACGGTCCAGCTCCAACCCATGCTTCCTGACCCCTCTGCTATCACACCCAACTCTACCAGTCGTCTTCTAGTTGCAGCCCACTCTCACTTCCGGAATCTGTCTCAGGAAGAGTAAGGTACTCAGGCACTGCCGACATCAGCATCGCCTCCCAAGTACAATCCCCTTACTCGGAGGAGAGGCCCTGGGAGACAACTGCAGCTATACAGGCATACCTCATTTTATTGCGCTTCATTTTATTATGCTTTACGGATACTGCATTTTTTACAAATTGAAGGTTTGTGGCAACCCTGTGTTGTCTGATGATGGTTAGCATTTTTTAGCAATAAAGTATTTTTGAATGAAGGTATGTACATTGCTTTTTTTTTTTTAGACATAATACTATTACAGTTAATAGACTATAGTATCATGTAAACATAACTGGGAAACAAAAAAAAAAAACCAAAAAATTTGTGTGACTCGCTTTATTGTGAAATTCACTTTATTGTGGTGGTCTGGAACTGAACCTGCAATATCTCCGAGGTATGCCTTTACCAGATTTTCTGCTTTCACCTGAAACCCAAAGCCCTGGTGAAGGGAGACCTGCAGGACAGAAAAAGTATAATTTTTTTACTACATGCCATAAAACTACAAAAGCTATTTTTTTAAACTATTAATAATGTTCACCAGAGCAGTTAGTTATCTCTGGTCTATTTTCTGCACAAATTTATAACTTACTATTTCTCTGTATACTCTTTTTCATATGATAATTCTGCAAAGGCCTGGCCTGGCCTAGCTTCTGAACAGAGGTAGGGCTTATGACAGAAAAAAGCTTTGGTTTTCTGCTCAGAGCTAAGGTTAGTCTCTTTACCCCCTTTATTATCATTCTTAATCTCCTTTTCTTAGGAGATCCTTACTCTTGAGAAATGAATGAGAAGTCTCTCAGAAAAGCAGCTCCTAAGCAGTAGACAAAACTGAGACTGTATAAAGACAGAATAAAGGAGAGGACCCAAAAGCTACCTGCAAAGCGAGGGGAAGATGTTCTTCTCATGGGCAACAGATGCCCCCTCCCTGAGAAAAAGCTAACAGGAAGAGCCTTACACCCCAGGTAAGGCTGTGCAGACGGGTCAGTCAGACAAGATGAGACCTGGATGTGACAGCTGAGCAAACAGCCAGCACTTCAGCAGCTCAGCAGGAAGCTTCACCAGGCGTGGGTTCCTGCCTCCCTCCTGTGGAGGTCAGGGGGAAATGCAGGAAGTGGCTTGAGTCAGTCTCCTAGAGCTCACGCAGCAGGAGGGACAAGCACAAGTCAAGTGCAAGTTGAAGGCTCATTTCCCAATTCCCAGAAGTGTATAGTATCTAAAAAGCAACCCTGTGTGACACCATAAACTCTGCCAGGGGATCCCTAGAAAAGAAGCCCAGGCTTATGGGGCTTTCTGAATAAATGCCACCATGGTGCTTGGGAAGCAGAGGTTTATATTGCCCCAAGCACTCCACTGCAAGGTCAACACTACCTCCAGAGGTGTCTGTAGGAAAACTAATGGAAGCTTTTTCCTCTCCCACCTCAACTCCCCAAAGGACAGGAAAAGTTAGCATGTAGGTAGAGGAGCCAGAAACCTAGGGTTCCAAACACTACCACAAAACCCCAGGGTCATTAAAGGCATTCCAAAACAGTAGAATGAAAGCCAGTATGTCAGGAAACTTATGCACATTATCTTTTTTAACACTCACACATCTCTATAAGGTAGGTATTATCATCTCTGCTTTACGGATGAGGAAACAGGCTCAGAGAAGCCCGGCAAGTTCCCAATCGTTTCACAGCCTGTGAACAGGAAAAGAAACACCCTAGGATGACTTAGTCTGGAGCCCATACATTCCCCAGTGTGGTGCACTGTCCAGTATATCAGTCAGTGACTCTATTTATTGGAAAAAATTTCCAAGTCCTTAGGGAGTACACATCAACAGTTAAAGAGTTCTGAGTAGAAAACCAAAGCTCTTGGTGGGGTGACCAATTTAGGCATCTCCAGGTGTCTCCCCCTACCACCCCATGGACAGAACAGTTGCCATGGAGAAAAAGTCAACAAATGCACCAAGCTCAGAAGTGCCGTCCAAATCTCGGATGGTGTCAGTTTCTGCATGGGAGAAAAATCAGTTCATCCACACTACAAATTCCAGCATGGAGTCAAGAGAATAGTAAGTGGAAATTTTAACTTACTGAAATATTAAAAGTAGGTTAAATGTCATGATCAAATGAAACATTTTATGGCACATGAAAGCCAGCACCCAGTACAAGAGATGCCAAAGGGACCAGAGACAAAGAATTAAGGGTTTTCAGACAGTCAGCTGAGAGACAAAGATGGCAAAACTGCAAGAAGTATGTAGCCAGAAAGTTCCAGGCATCCAGTACTGGCATTT